TTCATGGCTAGGACGGGACTAGAACTCGCCGTCTCCTGGTGATTGGCCCAAAGTCACCTAGCCAGCTTTTGTGCCTAAAAGTGAGACTAGGATTCACCTCTCCTGGTTTCTGACCTGGGGTTTGAATATTGAACTCCGATTCTACATTTTTATTTGTTTCTACTTGTTTCTAATCCACGCTTTGAGTCGCACCCCCTTGCAGGGTCTTATTAGGATGTCCTAAGCCACCAGAAGCCCCCCGGGTCAGATGGGCGGTGTGGGAAATGTAACGGCTCACCGCAGGGCTCCTTTCGTTTCTGAGCAGACCTGGAGGAACTGTACTGGAGGGGCGTGAAGGAGCGCCTGGTGGCCCGGAGGAAGCTGCAGAAGAAGGTGGTGAGTCAGGCGGGCAGAGCGGCCCACGGAAGGCCCAGAGGGAGGGCTGGGCGATGCGGCAGAGAGGAAGCGAGAGCCACAGAGGTGGCCGCGCGGCGGAGGAGGAGGAGCTGCGGGTTCTTCCTCTGGCTGGGTCTGAAAAATGACGGGGGTCTTAGTCTAGCTGGGTCAGGAAACCAGGTTCAGACAGCACCGAGGACTCCACAGCGAACAAATGAACGAAGGAAGGAAGGAATGACTCCCTTCTCCAACACTGGCAGAGCAAGCTGCTGTATGTAAGCAGCCATCCAACCCCATGGCCTTCTAGCGCTCAGGATGCCACCTATTTGGGTCTGCAAGGAAACCACCAAGGTCAGGGAGCACCAAGGACCCCACAGTCCTCCTCCTCCTCCTCCTCCCTTCCAGTGCTGATGATGTTCCCTAGTTGGGTCATGCAACATCTGTAAGAAAACAACCAAGTTTGGGGAGCACCAAGGACCCCATAGTTGTCCTCCTCCTCCTCCTCCTCCTCCTTGCAAACCCCCCTCCCTTCTAGCACTGATGATGTTCCCTAGTTGGGTCATGAAACGTCTGCAAGAAAACAGTCAAGCTCAGAGAGAATCAAGGACCTCACAGTTCTCCTTCCTTCCTTCCTTCCTCTTCTTTCCACTCCCTTCTAGCACTGATGATGTTCCCTAGTTGGGTCAGAAAACATCTGCAAGAAAACAACCAAGCTCAGAGAGAATCAAGGACCCCACAGTTCTT